CAGAAATCTGCGTGTCATCCTGCGTGTCATCCTGGACTCCCCGAAAACATAAGCAGCCAATGGGTCACTGCATCCCTACCGCAAAGGGAGGCTTTTCTATTCACTGCTGTCTTCCTGACACACGGCACGGCCGTGAGGACGCAGCCCCGAGGTTGGCAGCTTCGTGGGGTGTGGACCGGAGTATTGACAGCCAGACTGAGGGCCGGAAAGTCTTCTCATCTTGTTGAAAGGGAACCCAGGGAGGTTAAGTGACTTGCCCTGAAACACACAGCCTCTTAGCAGCAGAGCCAAAAATAGAAACCAAATTCCCTAACTCTTAATCCTGTAAGTGGCTGTGTATGATCATCTTCTGTGTTTGGCTGAGGGCCTTTTCATATGTGTTAATAGACCAAAAGCACTTTGGGGGCTCCCTTCCATGTTTGTAGGGTCGCTTTCTTGCTATGGAGACTGTCACCAATCAAAATACTTTACTGAGAACTATGGGAGCCACTCTTAGCATTATTTTTCTTTCTTTGATTTTTTTGGTTTTTTTATTAAGTAACCTGTACGCCCGACGTGGGGCTTGAACTCACCCCGAGATCAAGAGTCATATGCTCTTCTGACGGACCCATCCCCGCGCGCCTGGATTATCGTTTTTGATAACAGCCTTATTGATCTGTAATTCACATGGCACACACTTCAGTAGGGTGGACTGTAGTATGCTCACAGACTGACCCACTATCCAGGGTCAGGACATTTTCATCAGCCCCAAACAAAACCCAGTACCCCCTGCAGTCGCTACCATCCCCCCCCCCACTCCCCCCCCCCACCCCAGCGCTGGAAACCACTCTTTCCTGTCTCTGTGGACTTGCCTGCTGTGGGCTTTACACATAAATGGAGCCACACAAAATGGGGTCTTTTTTTTTTTTTTTAAGGTATCTATCTATTTATTTATTAAGATTTTACTTATTCAGGGGCGCCTGGGTGGCTCAGTTGGTTGGGCGACTGCCTTCGGCTCAGGTCATGATCCTGGAGTCCCGGGATCGAGTCCCGCATCGGGCTCCCTGCTCGGCGGGGAGTCTGCTTCTCCCTCTGACCCTCCCCCCTCTCATGCTCTATCTCATTCTCTCTCTCAAATAAATAAATAAAATCTTAAAAAAGAAAAAAAAAAAGATTTTACTTATTCAGTTGAGAGAGACAGAGAGAGCACAAGCACTCTCCCTGCTGAGCAGGACCCTGGGATCATGACCTGAGCCACAGGCAGATACCCAACCGTCTGAGCCACCCAGGCAGCCCTAGATTTTTATTTGAGAGAGAGAGCGTGAGAGAGAGAGCACAAGAGCAGGGAGAGGGAGAAGCAGACTCCCCGCCGAGCAGGGAGCCGGATGCGGGGCTCGATCCCAGGACCCCGAGATCATGACCTGAGCCGAAGGCAGACGCTTAACCGACTGAGCCACCCAGGCGTGCCAACATGTGGCCTTTTGATGGGCTTCTTTCACTTAGCATGTTTTCCAGGTTCATCTGGTGTTCTAGCGTGTGTCCATGCTTCATACGCGTTCATTGCCAAATAATATCCCGTCATGTGGATAGAGCACATTTATGCATCCACCGGTTGATGGACATTTGGGTTTTCGCTGCTCTCGGGCGGCAGTGACTAATGCGGCGGTGAGTGCTGCATGTATGGATTGTGGTGCATACGTATGTTTTCAGTTCTCCTGGGCATCTACTTGCTGCATCACGTGATAACTCTCGGTCCTACATTTTGAGGAACTGCCACACTGTTTCCCAAAGTGGCTGCGCCATCTTACATTCCACCAGCGGTACACAAGGGCTCCGAGATCCCCACCTCCTCCCGGAGCTTGTCCGTGCCCGCGTCCTTGTGACAGTAGCCGTCTTAGTGGCCGTGATGTGGGCTCTTGTGTGGTTTGGGTTTGAATTTCCCTCGTGACTAATGATGTCCACCTTTTCGTGTGCTTATTGGCCACTGTATATCCTCAGAGAGATGTCTATTCAGATCCTTTGCCCATTTTTTAATTAATTGGTTTGTCTTTTTATTGTTATTTTGTCCTTAAGGAGTCCTTTTTATATTCTGGATACGAGTCCCTTATCTGATACATAATTTAAAACGTTTTCTCTCATTATGTGGGTTGTCTTTTCACTTTCTTGTTGGTGTCCTTCGAAGCACAAAAGTTTTAAATTTTGAGGAAATTCAACTTATGTGGTTTTTTTTCTTTTGTGGTTTATGCTTTTGGTGTCCTTTGTAAGGAACCATTGCTTGATCCAAGGTAATGAAGATTTACTTCTGTGCTTTAAGATTTCCATGGTTTTAGGGGGCGGGGCAAAAAAGATTCTATGATTTTAGCCCTTACAGTTTTAGGTCTGTGATCCATTTTGAGTTAAAATTTTATATGGTACAAGGTAGGGATCCAACTTCATTCCTTTGCATGTGGATACTCAGTTGTCCCAGCACCATTTGTTGAAAAGACTTGAATGCCTTGGTACTCTTGTCAAAAATCAATTGACCACAAATTAAAGAGTTGATTTTTGGATTCTCCATTCTAGTCCATTGATCCAGATGTCTGTCATGCCACTCTCACACTGTCTTGATTACTGTCGCTTTGCAGTTAAGTTTTGAAATCAGGAAGTGTGAGTCCTCCACCGTTGTTCTTCTCTTTTGAGATTGTTTGTTTCTCCTGGATCCCTTGCATTTCCATATGATGTTTAGGATAAACTTGTCAATTTCTGCAAAAAATGCCCAATGGGATTTTGACAGAAGTGCACCGAATCTGTAGATACTAACAATATTAAGTCTTCTGATCCATGAACATGGGAAATCTGTCCATGTACTTAGGTCTTTAACTTGTTCCAACAATGTTTCTAGTTTTCGGTGTCCCGGTCTGACACTTTTGTAGTTAAATGTGTTCTTTTGGCTGCTACTGTAAATGGGATTGTTTTCTTAATTTCATTTTTGGATTAGTCATTGTCGTACATAGATACAGGGTTGGGTTTTGTTCATTAATCTTGCATTCTTTTTTTTTTTTTTTAAGATTTTATTTATTTATTTGACAGAGGCACAGCGAGAGAGGGAACACAAGCAGGGGGAGTGGGAGAGGGAGAAGCGGGCTCCCTGCTGCAGGACTGGATCCCAGGACCCTGAGATCATGGCCCTAGCCGAAGGCAGACGCTTATAGACTGAGTCACCCAGGCGCCCCTAATCTTGCATTCTGCAACCTTGCTGAACTCAATTGATTTGTTCTCGCAGATTTTCAGTAGATTTCTTAGGATTTTTCTGTGCACATGCTGATGTCATGTGCAAACAGAGATAGTTCTACTTCTTCTTTTCCTACCCAGATGCCTTTTATTCCTTTTTCTTTCCTGATGATGCTGAGTAGAACCGCCGGTATAACATTGAATAGAAGTGCCAAGAGTCGACAGCTTCGTCTTACTCTCAGATTATTTAAAGAAGAGCACATCTCCACGTGGTCCTATTCTTGAGAAGCTCAATCGCACAGTCTCCATTGTGAGGTTAATACGTGAAACCGAGGTTGGCATTCATGGGTGGGACAGCTTGGGATGGGCTAGGGTAGCTGGGGAAGACTTCCTGAAACAGGATTTGGCTCGGACAGGAACAGGTCATCGTTGGGCGGGGTCGGCGCGGTGTGAGTTGAGTCTGTGGGGCTGGAGGGGCTGTGGGGCTGCTACAGGAGGCAGTAGTTCATCACCGTTCTGCAGAGGCCCACACCCCACCCACCTGTCAGTACCCCCTGAAGTGCACAGTTTCTCAAAGTGGGTCCATCGGCCGGCCCACAGTAGAATCACCCGGGGAAGACGATGGGGGGATCTGTCCCTCACCCCAGACCTGCGTGCTGCCTCGGAATCCCGGGAGCCAGATCCCAGGAGCGTCTTCCCGAGTGATCCTCGTGTATCCTGAGGACATCTCTTCCCCAGCTTTTCGACCTCACTCAGGCCCCCAGTCCCGCGTAGCCGATGATCTTCCCGCCGATGTGGTCCGTGAAGTCAAGGCCTCGTCTTCCTCCTTGGCCTCAACAGACCAGTCCCTCCTGTCCTCTCCCTCCTCCCGTTAGTTGTCTGTAGCCTTGTTCCCGTCCCTTCCCACCTCCCCGCATCCGGCTGGACAGGAACCCGGCAGCTGATGAAAGAGTTCGAGCAGCTGGAGGAAGAGCTGGAGGATGCTTCCAGCACATTGTCACGGCGCTGGGCCTGCATGCAGAGAGCCACCGAGCACGCGGACAGGCACATGTCCGAAGGGCTCATGCGAAGCCGGAGCTGTGCATAAATCTGTGCATTTGAACGGGGCCTTCTGGACCGCCGGTGCACGGACGGGAGAAACCAGACACGCCCCGAATCGCTACCATAACCCCACAGGGGACGCAGTTTATGTTCAGGCTAAGAAGTCAATTCGGCAGGAGTCCTCCGTCTCCTAGCTTTTTGTCTTCCCTTCCACGGGCAGGGGAGACCTTCCTGTTTTGGAAACCCTCTGTCTAACCCCACTGCCCCATCATCTGATTCCCCTCCACTCAGCCTGGCTTCCCCAGAGGCCGCTGTGCCCGTGGGCCCCACTTCCTCCCCGACGAGGCCCTTCCAGCCCCACCCCGGCTGCAGTCTCCTGGGGCCAGTGGTGCTCTCCTCCGTGCAGGTGGTGCTCTCCTCCATGCTGTCTGTCCTGCTGTCTGACCTGCTGTCCAGCATGCAGCACAGGGCTGTTTCCAAGAGGCCAGCTCCTGTGTTCTTCCTTCACTGGACGTCTGTCTCCTGTGTCCACTCTCAGTCTGCCTCCAGACCCTCGTTTCTAACCGCCTGACGTCCCCTAACATCGCAAACGCAACGTCCCGACCAAACTGCCGTCCCCCACCGGGCCCCCCTCGCTCTCACTTTCCTGGTGCTAGCTGACCGCCGACTCAGCCTGTAGAGCCCGGCTCCGTCCGCACTGTCTCCTCCAGGAGCCCACCCGACGTGCCCCACCTGCTTCAGTCTGTCCCCGAAGCCACGAAATGGACCTTCCACCCAGTCCCAGCCCCTCTGTGTGTGTGTGAGCAGGACAAGGCCCCAAACACTTAAATATTTGCTCAGGACACAGCTGATGCCCAAGACCTCCTAGAAGGCTACTCTCCAGGGCCTCCCACTCTGCTTGGCAGCCTCTCGATGCCTCGAGGGCCTTCACTCGCTCTTTCAGCATAAAATCCTGTACCGCCACCTGTCTGCATTGGGGTACTTGGCCTGTAAATCTCAAGGTCCGTCCTGGATCTTCCATGTTTCTCATGTATCGTTGAGCTCTGTTTGCGCCTAATTGAGTTGTCACCCAGTTGGCGCTCGATAAATGTTTACCAGGTAAATGAAAGAAGAGAAAGTTGCCTTACAGATTTCCCTGGATTAGGGCCTAGGCAGGCCCAGTATGGGTGTAGACACTCACTCAGAAAATATTTATTGGTTGGTTAACGATGGGGCAACTTTGAATACCAGCCTGAGGTGTTGGGACTCCTCTGTGAGCCCAGGGGCCAGGCCGGCTCTGGGCACAAGAGGAAGGTCAGGAAGGTGACCTCAGGCCATGGACAGAGGCATGGTAAGGCATGAGCTGGGAGCGGGGACGCCCCGGGATTGAGAGGAAGACAAACGGGGCCATCTGGAGGGAAGAAGGGACGGGCAACAGGTGTGGAAATGGTCCATGTTCTGTGCAGGGGGCCGGGCACCACAACGCCCGTCACAGGCCAGGTCTCGGCTTCGTTCTCTGGAAAGCCCTTCCCAGGAGGTGCGCCGTGCCATCCTGGTTTGCAGGTCAGGAGAGCTGAGCCCGGAGATTGCGTCTGACCCCAAGGATTGCTTTCTTCCCCCAGCATCTCCCACACATCTGAGGAGGAGGCGGGTTCGGATCTGAGATCAGAGAATTAAACCGTCCGTCCTTCCCTGTTAGGTGAGGAGCGCCCCAAAATTCACAACCACAAGTCCCTGTTCCGAGGCGGACGGACACATCTGTGTCCGTCCGCCTCGGAAAGAGCGGAGTAGACGTAAGAAAGGACTGCCCAACAGGCCGGGCTCAGAGGCCCCCGAGAGGCTGAGCCTTTTTGGGGGGGCTAGGTGCCTGCAGGCAGACGAGAACCGGGTCCAGGCTCCCAGCCGCTCCCATCGGTCCCTGTGCAGTGACACTTTCTCCCTTCCCTGCGGGGCCTACTGTTTTGTTAGACCTGATCAAGGTGGTTTTGTCGTCGGCGTGTTTTTGTTGGATAATTTCAGCTGGAGCTTGGCCAGGTCAGCCCAGTGCCCTGGGGAGCACGCGGAGGGAGCCCCTCGGCACCTTCCCTCACGGCTTCCCCAGAGCAGGTGTGGGCTGTTCTCGGGCTACTGCGTGCCGGGCCCGGGCTGGGTGCTGGACACGCTGCTGAGCAGGGAGGGTTCCGGCCCTTTCTTCCGGGAGTTTCCAGGCGAGGAAAGTCACGGTCTTGGTGCGCGGTGGTGCGCGCTCTGAGGGGATGTACAGGGAGGGCGCTGCGTGTCCAGGCCTTCAGGTCCCCTTGCCGGGAAAGCGAGGACAGTGGGGCGTCCAGTGCGGACGCCCTGCAGAAGCCTCGGGCTGGCGTCTCCCCGCCATCCGGCCCGTCCAGGTTAGGTTTCGCTGCTGGTGGCCATGGAGGAGCGGTCAAGGGTTCTTTTGTTCTCCAGAAAGCCTATGCTGGGTTTCAGAATCGGGGAGAAAGGAGTTTCAGGTTATATGCTTTTCAGACCAGCTCAGAGGCCCAGGTGCCTCCTGGGGAGAGTGTTCTGGGTGGTGTCACCCCCGCCTGCCAGGCCTGCAGGTGGCCGAGGGGTGGGTGGCCTCCCCGCGGCCGTGCCGGCTGCTCTTGGTCCCGCAGGCAGTGAGCCTCTGGAGGCTTTGTCTGAGCCCTTCGAGCCTCTCCTCCTGGCACCGCCTGGCTCCAGAAAGCCCCCTGCCCCTCCCAGCGGCCATCTCTGTCCCCTGCTCTCCCGCCCTGGGGCTCAGGACAACCTCAGAAAAGTGAAGAAGCGGGAAAGGGACAGGAGGAGGGGCTTCTGGATTTCCAGTCCCCTGCTAGCTTCCTTCTCCCTGCTTTTAAAAAATCGTAGGGGCACCTGAGTGGCTCAGTCGTTGGGTGTCTGCCTTCGGCTCAGGTCATAATCCCAGGGTCCTGGGATCGAGCCCCGCATCGGGCTCCCTGCTCGGCGGGGAGCCTGCTTCTCCCTCTCCCACTCCCCTTGCTTGTGTTCTTTCTCTCTCCCTGTGTTTCTCTCAAATACACAAAATTTTTCTAAAAATAAAAAAATATTTTACTGAACACATGCACTCTGTGCCAGGCACCGTCTCAAGCTCTTGATGGGCGTTGCCTCGTTTACAGGTGACCCCAGCTCCAGAGGCGCACGCTCGGAGGCCGCAGACGCTCAGTTTGTCACTGCCTGTGGGCTCCCACCGCTGTCATCTCTCCCCTTCTTCGGACTTTTCCTGTAGAGCAGGACCTCTGAGCCAATCCGCGAAAACCACAGCTGGGTCTGCGGTCCCCCGAAGCCCCCTCTAATACACCCATGCTCACTCATCTGACCGGATACTTCTCTCCCCGCTCTGTTCTGAAGTCCCGACACTTGTTCTTTCCCCCTCCCCGCAGGACCCCGCTGGAATCTTCGAGCTGGTGGAAGTGGTCGGCAATGGAACGTACGGACAGGTGTACAAGGTCAGGCTCTAATGGGGCAGGAGTGGGAGGCCCCTCCATGGGGCCCTCGGGACGGGTGGCAGGGGCAGGCCCTAGGTCTGGGGCTGTGGGCGGTGACGGGGGCTGGGAGAGGGGAGGGAGGGCCTGGGAGAGGCAAGGAGGGTGAAAATAGTGGAAGGAAGGTCAGGAAGTGGGGTGTTTTTGCTGGCCAGTGCGTGGAGTCTCCATGAGTCCCGGGTGCAGCAGGAGGAGGTCTGGATCCGGGCGGGGTGTGGGCAGGGGCACAGGAGGGCAGTGGCGAGAGTGTGCATGCGTGCTCACGTGTGTATCCATGTGCGTGCATGTGTGTATCTGCGTGTGCACGTGTGTATCTTTGCGTATCTGCGTGTGCGTGTGTCCATGTGCATGTATGCGTGAGTCTGTGTGCATGTGTGTAGCTGTGCACGTGTGCATCCGTGTGCGTATCTGTGCGCGTGCGCGTCTGTCGGGGCTCACCCGAGAACGCAAAGCAGAGCTCAGGCCACGAGCACAGCTCTGGCTTTTCTTCCAAGACCGCAGCGAGGCCCAGCCTTGGCGCCGGCCGAGCCCCAGGACCTGTCGCAGAGGGGAGGTGGTGTTCTCGAGCTCCTGGGCCGGCCTGCAGCGGGTCTGGAGCCAGAGCTCTGGCCTTCTCCTCCGGGCCGCCCCGGACCGTTGCCTGTCGCTTTGGCCTGGCCCACCCAGCCCGACCACGGGTCCCACTAGGAGGGGGAGGCGGCATGTTAGATGTTCCCCAGAGCTGGGGCCTCCAGGGCGCACACCCGCCTTCTGTGTCTCCTGACACGATGCTAGGCCTTTCCACCAGTCTCTGCATCTCAGGGGCATTTCCTGGGTCACTGGGACCACCCTGTAAGCTTTGGGGAAAGGTGCACCCCTCCCCCATTCCCCCATTGCTAGCCTGGTCGTTGCCGTGGAAATAGTAGCCCTGTGTTCTGCTTCTCTGGGCTCGGGGTCTTGGATGACTGCTGAGGACAAGAATGATCCGTGGGCTGCCCCCCCCCCCCTTCCCCAGGAAGCCTGAACTCCCTGGTCCAAGGCTGGGATGGCTCCTGGAGGAATGTCAGAGGGAGGAGGGGGGAGGAGGGAGAATGGCAGGGACATACTCTAGAAGTTACTTCCCATTAGTGCCGGGGATGGGCCATCGACAGGCCGGTCAGCCTTCTGGGTTTCCCCGAGTTCCCTAAAATCCCAACTCTGTCTATTCTTTCCTGCCAAAAATAATAAAAAGCTTTGGAGGGGGTGATTCTGGGAAAGGCTTCCTGGCAGGGGGAGGGGCGCATGAGGCAGTGGGCATAGAAGGTGTCGGAGAGGCAGAGCCCCTCCCCCGGCCTCCCCCAGCTCTATCCAAGGCTGGAGAGAACCTTTCACTCCCTGCTCTATTTTTCAAACTGTGGGAAGTCCAGAGCAGAGGTGAATCTCCCTCGCCTCCCTAAGCTGTTTTAGGGGAGGAGACCCTTCATCTTGATCCAGCTTAGCGCTTGGAGTCCAGGCTCCATAGTGCTTCTTGGAGGCCTCTGCCTTCCCCTGTGACTGACCCATTAATGAAGTGTCCAGTCACCACGGAGACACTTCCTAAGACAGAAAACAGCCAGAAGGCGTGGCCTGTCCCAGAATCACACCGTCCCTGGACGCAGACTCAGAGCCTCCACGCCCGGCTTTCTGTCCCACAGGGTCGGCACGTCAAGACTGGGCAGCTGGCTGCCATCAAGGTCATGGATGTCACGGAGGTAGGGAGCCATGGGGGCAGACGGCGGGCTGGCACCGAGGCGGGCTGGGGGCTCTCGGGCTCAGCCCTCCCATTCTCCTAGGACGAGGAGGAGGAGATCAAACAGGAGATCAACATGCTGAAGAAATACTCTCACCACCGCAACATCGCCACCTACTACGGGGCCTTCATAAAGAAGAGCCCCCCTGGGAATGACGACCAGCTCTGGGTGAGATGCCCCCCCCCCCCCAGCCCTCGCTGTCTCCAGGCTCACCCACAAGCCAGCCTCGGCCCCCAGCCCTCCCTTAGTCTACAAGACTCCGTGCCTCCCGATCCAGAGTGCCTCCTGACTCACGCGCTGCGGTCTCTTGTCCTCTGAGCGTCTGGGGGGCCCTGGGGTCCTGGGGGTTTGCCCACACCTGTGTCCTCACCAGGAGCTTACACTGTGTGTGGCCCACTCTTCCTAAGTGGTGAGCATCGTCACCGAGCCAGGGCTGGGGCAGGAGGTGAGTCCGTCAGTCCTGCCTTCACGCACAGCTCCGGGGGAAGCCACGGCCCCAAATACCGTGTGCAGAGGCAGGACTCGGACCCTCCGGGCAGAGCACAAGCCCTTCTGGATGATTCCTCTAATCAGAGCTCGATGTGGCTCCTTTGGGCCTCCCCCAAATTCCCTCCTGGCCCAGAACATTCCTGAGAGTCTTTGCCCTCTGGGGCCTGGGCCCATTCCCCAGCCTTGACCTTCCTGCTCTGCAGCCCGGCCCCGGGAGAGTGCCAGGGAGCACGTTGGTGGGCTTGGGGCTCATGCTGGGTCTCCCCTCCCGCTGTTGCCAGACAGGTACTTACTGATCGCCTTGTGTGTACTTTGCACAGATGGGCCGAGTCACGTCCCCATTTCCAAGGCGCTCGCACACACAGACTGTGCCCTAAGCAAGGGCGGCACAACTTCCCCCGGGGCTTACCTGCCGGCTGTGTGTAGTGGGAGAGCCTGAGGACCAGAGGCTAGGCGCTGGCCGGGGCGCCCCCTGCTGGCTGCACTGGACACCCCGCCCCCGGGGCGGAGAGGCCAGGGCCCACACGGGCGGCGTGCAGATGCCCTTTTGCACGTACGAGTGTACACATTCCCTCCTGGCCTTTCTCTGCGTTGGATGTGGGCTTTTGGAAAACGTGCAGTGAGACTCCGTCACAGCCCTCCCGATCCCAGGGCGTCGTGCTGGGGTCTGCCCAGGACCCCTCCCGCAGTTCGCTGCTTGGTCTCCCGCAGGCCTGGAGAATCTTTCTGAGCCCCGTCTTGCCTCTGGGCCAGGGCTTGGCCGACCTTTCCTTGGCCGTGAAGGCCGGGCAGCAGGTGTCTGGGGCTCTGTGGACCCTGCAGTCTGTCCCGGCTTCTCATCGCAGCTGCTGGGCCCTGAAACAGGCACAGGAAGTGCGCCCATGAACGGGGACGGGAGTGTCGCTGGGCCCCCGGAAGCCTTTAGTTAGGACACTCAAACTTGAATTTTATAGGATTCTCAGTGTGATTGTTTTCAGCCATTTATAAATGTAAAGACCAGGCCTCGCTCACCGGCCAAAGTTTGCCAACCCGCGCTCCGGGATGGCAGTTGTGGTTTCGGGCCGTGGTCCCCACGGGGCCCTGACAAAAACCCCGGGCCCGTCCCCAAGGAGGACACGTGCATGCACCTCATTCTGTCTAGTTTCCAGGGTTCCTTGGGCTCCTCCTTAGGACCCAGACCGTCTCCCTCAGCGCCGCCCGCCCTGTCTTTCCCGACTGCATGGCCTTCTGCTTTGCGGCTCACCCCGCTGTGGTCCCAAGGCCTCTGGCCCTCCTTCCAGGGGGCGGCAGGGGAAGGAGGCCCTGCCTGACGGTTGCTTCCCCCCGCCCCCCACACCCCGTGCCTCCCTGGGCCCGTAGCTGGTGATGGAGTTCTGTGGTGCTGGTTCCGTGACAGACCTGGTAAAGAACACGAAAGGGAACGCTCTGAAGGAGGACTGTATCGCCTACATCTGCAGGGAGATTCTCCGGGTGAGCACCGGCCTCTCCCTGGACACGGACCCTCCCTGCCCCGGGGAGGCCCCAGGCGGGTCGGGGATGGGAGACCGAGGCCGGCCCTGGAGAACACTCTGGCAGCTGGGGGGTGGGGACAGGCACCTCTGCCGCTTCACTCCCCCCTGCAGCTGCTGGGCCTTTCCGAGGACGCTCCCCACTGACACGCAGCCTGCGCTTGGGCTCCGGCGTGGGGAGGGGCTGCCCCATCCCCCCCCCTGCTCACTCACCTCCCCGCCCACCCTCCCGCTGCAGGGTCTGGCCCATCTCCATGCCCACAAGGTGATCCATCGGGACATCAAGGGGCAGAACGTGCTGCTGACGGAGAACGCCGAGGTCAAGCTAGGTACGCCCGTCCCCTCGCGGCAGATGGGGCTCTCTGACCTGCAGGACAGAGTGAGAGGCTGGGAGTCTTGCTCCCGCCCTTCCCCCTCTCCTCCCCTGCGAGCCCCCCCCCCCCCCCCGCTGGAAATCAGTCCCGAAGTTCCCTCCCCCCCCCACCTCTGTGTCCCAGGTGCTGTGCAGGTCCCTCCAGCCTGTCCCTTGGCCCTTTCACATTGGTTTTCCCCCAAGATGCGGGGGGGGAGGTGGATGGGGTGGCAGAGGGTCCGGGAATGTCTGCAGAGGCCGGGACCTCCACTGCCCCTGGGGCACGCACCTGCCAGCACAAGACCCTCCATGATAACCCCTCCCTCCGTGTTTTCCCAGTGGATTTTGGGGTGAGTGCTCAGCTGGACCGCACTGTGGGCAGGCGGAACACTTTCATCGGGACCCCCTACTGGATGGCCCCGGAGGTCATCGCCTGTGACGAGAACCCCGATGCCACCTACGATTACAGGGTACGGGGCGGGAGGCAGGGCGCGCGGAGGCAGCCAAGGGCGGGATGGGGATGGGGTGGTGGGTAGACTGAAGACACCGGAGGCCCAGATGGGCCGGGTGACACAGCGAAGGTGTGGTGGTGTGCTGGCAGTGAGGGGTGGGGTCGGCTGGAGCCCAGGAAGTGGCTCTGAAGAGTCCGAGATGGTGGGGGCAGAGGGCCCTCAGGAACATGCTCCGTCCCTCCTCCTCTCCCCTCTGCAGAGTGACATTTGGTCTCTAGGAATCACAGCCATCGAGATGGCAGAGGGGGCCCCCCGTAAGTGTGGAGCGGGGAGTGGAGGGAGCCCCAGAGGGGCTGTGGGGAGGGGGGCCATGGGGGGGTCATGGTGGGAGGGGCTCCTTGAGGCTCTCGGGGGCCAGGAGAGGGACTCATGGTGTCCCCCCCTCATGTGCCAGCTCTGTGTGACATGCATCCCATGCGAGCCCTCTTCCTCATCCCCCGGAACCCACCCCCCAGACTCAAGTCCAAGAAATGGTAGGTCATTGGACCAGGCCCCCCACCTTCACCCCTGTGTCCAGTGCGGGGGTGCACCACAGAGGGGTGGGGGCTGGGGCTGGGGCTGGGATGCGGAGAAGACCCAAGGGAAACCCAGGTGGCTCTTGGACGGATGATTCCCCTCTCCCACCTCTGACCCCCCCCCCCCTTGCGAGGGGCCCTCCCAGCGTGAGCCCCCTTCCCTTCCAGGTCTAAGAAGTTCACCGACTTCATTGACACGTGTCTCATCAAGACCTACCTGAGCCGCCCGCCCACGGAGCAGCTGCTCAAGTTCCCGTTCATCCGCGACCAGCCCACGGAGCGGCAGGTCCGCATCCAGCTCAAGGACCACATCGACCGCTCCCGGAAGAAGCGAGGCGAGAAAGGTCAGCGGGCCAGCAGGGAGGTCCTCCTCGGCAGCCCCGCTCCCCGCTCTGGGGCCTAGTCCTCCCGGGCGGGGGAGCCCTTCTCCCCAAACTTTCAGCCCCAGGGGAATTTGTCCTCGTCCACGCCCCGCCCTCCACCCCCCCCCCCCGATCCCAGGCAACCTCCCCCACCCAGGGCCACCCTGTTACAGCCTGACAGGGGCTCCATGGTGAGCGGGTGCGGGCGTACGTGCGCGGCGGTTGGCCACGGCCTGCCCGCTGTGGGGTCTGGTCCCCCGCTCTGCCCGCTCTGCCCGGGCCCACGTTCCAAGGAGGCCGGCGGGGGCAGGTGCGCGGCCCTCCCCGCGGACCGCATTGGTCAGCCCCATGGAAGGTTCCCGGCCCGGGGTGGGGTCTGGGGCGCCGGGTGAAGGAACAGTGGTGGGCTTCCCCCTGCAGAGGAGACGGAGTACGAGTACAGCGGCAGCGAGGAGGAGGACGACAGCCACGGGGAGGAAGGCGAGCCCAGGTGGGCCACAGCCCCGGCCACGGCCGCTGGTCTGCGGTGGGCGGGGGTGGGGGTGGGGGGGTGCAGAGCCCGGCGTAGGGGCAGCGGTGCTCCCTGCGGTGGGGGCGGGGGCCAGAGCCCCAGCTCGGGGGCAGCCGTGCTCCCTGCCGTGGGGGCCGCCGGCCTGCGGTGGGGGGCGGTGGGGGTTACAGCGGTGGAGCCCACACAGCCGCGGCGGGGGCTGGAGGAGCGGTGGGGGATGGGGGGCGGCCCACCGAGGGCTGCCGGCCCTGAGCCCCGCGCACGCGCTGACCCCCGCGCCGTCCGCCGGCCCCAGCTCCATCATGAACGTGCCCGGGGAGTCGACGCTGCGCCGGGAGTTCCTGCGGCTGCAGCAGGAGAACAAGAGCAACTCGGAGGCGCTGAAGCAGCAGCTGCAGCAGCAGCAGCAGCGCGACCCCGAGGCGCACATCAAGCACCTCCTGCACCAGCGCCAGCGCCGCATCGAGGAGCAGAAGGAGGAGCGGCGGCGCGTGGAGGAGGTGGGGCGGCCCCCGGGCGAGGCGGGGGGGGAGCTCCGCGGCCCCGCAGAGCGGTGCGCAAAGGCGCGCTGCCCCCGCCGGCGCCGGCCGTGCGTGCGGGGCGGCCCCGCGTGCGGGGGGGCGGCGCCCGCAGAGTGGACGCCTTCCGCACGGGCAGGCTGGTCCCGCCCCTCGCGTGCGCGGAGCCGCCGCCGCGTCCGTCCCGCGGCATCTGCGGCGTCCGGGGCGGAAGCCGTGTCTGCAGACCCTCCTGCGCCTTCTGGTTGCGGGGCTTCCATTTGCTGGAGAGCAGTCTGGAGGTGGGGGGAGAAATACCTCTTAATTAATAGTCTTACTTTTAAACAGAGCTTTTAAGTCGCCAACTTAAAAGGCGCGCGTCTGTAGACAGCGTGCTTAGATGCGTTTATTCTGCGGGAGGGACCTGGTGAGGAGGGAGAAGGTGTAAATACGGCCTTCGGCGGGGGGGCTTTGTTGAAGCAATGACACGATTTCAGAGTTCGCGGCGAGCCGGACTTAACAAGAAAGTCGTCCAAGTCCTAGGAGACACCCGTCTGCTGCCCCGCAAAGCAGCCCCTGCCCCTGCTGAGCCGCGCACGGCGGGCGGGGGGGGGCGCGCAGATGCCCGGCAGCGGGCGGACGGACGCAGCGCCGCGCGTGCCACGGCGTCCCCCTCGCGGGGACGGGCAGGGCACTCGGGGCTCCGGGCTGCAGGGGCCCCTCCGCCGCCCCCAGTTTGGACACACTCGCCTGGCCCCGGCGCTTCTGCGCGGGCGCCTGCCGCCCCCTTGTGGCCAGAGGCTGTCCGTGCGGCCCACCCCGCGCCGCTGGCGGCGGGGATGGGGGCGAGCGCCAGGGGCTGGGCGCCTAGCCGTCGGGCACCGTGCCGCCGTGGCTTGGCTTGCTTGGTGGAGGAGCGGACAGAGGAGGCGGCCCCCAGGGGCAGCAGGCCCCCGCAGCCGTTCCCCGCCGCCCCTCCCCGGCAGCGCCGGGGAGAAGGCCTGCCCGCACCGTCCAGTCGGGGTCCCCTTGCCAGCGGGCGCCGGAGGCCGGCCGGGCACCCCTTCCGGGGCCGCGTGTCCGGGCCGGGCCTGAAGAGCACCTCCTCGCACCCACAGCAACAGCGGCGGGAGCGGGAGCAGCGGAAGCTGCAGGAGAAGGAGCAGCAGAGGCTCGGGGACATGCAGGCCCTGCGGCGGGAGGAGGAGCGACGGCAGGCCGAGCGCGAGCAGGTACAGCGCCCCCAGCGCACACCGGACTCACCCCTTCCCTGCCCGGCCTCCCCTCTGCTCCTGCTGCCCGCCTGCCTGCGCCCGGCGCCCTCCCCCGGCTTTCCCGTCCCCCGGCTTCCTCCTATCTTTTCCAGCTTCACTCTCTCTCTGTTTTCTCCCACCCTTCAACCCGCGCCCTGGCTCCTGCCCTCCTCCTGTCTCTGTGCCTTCATTCCCCATCTCTCTGCCCCGTCCTCCACTCCCCACCCCTGCACCTTCCCTCCCGGGACCCCCACCCTGGCTTCCTCCTCATCGCCTGCCCTCCCGGGGCTCATCCCACCCCATCTGCCCTCTCTCTGATTCTGCCCGCTCTCCTCCTCATCCTCACCCCACCGATCCCGTCCTCCAACGCCGCCGCCCCCCCCGCCCTCTGCCCCCCCCGCCCCCCAGGAGTATATACGTCACAGGCTGGAGGAGGAGCAGCGGCAGCTCGAGATCCTCCAGCAACAGTTGCTCCAAGAACAGGCCCTGCTGCTGGTAACGGGGCCCCGGCTTCCTCTGGGAAGGAGCGGACGCAGAGCCTCTGTGCCGCAAAGGGACGGGGACACTTCGGGAAGGGGACCCGGCCAGGCGACCTCCGGGCGGCTGGAGCCAGGGCCTGCCTGCCTCCGCTCGGGGCCGCGCTGAGCCCGCTCTCCCCACCCTTGGGCCCAGGAGTACAAGCGGAAGCAGCTGGAGGAGCAGCGGCAGTCGGAGCGGCTCCAGAGGCAGCTGCAGCAGGAGCACGCCTACCTCAAGTCCCTCCAGCAGCAGCAGGGCCTGCCCGGGGACCGGAAGGCCCTGTACCACTACGGCCGGGCCGCCGGGCCCGCCGACAAGCCGGCCTGGGCCCGCGAG